GGCCAAATTGGCACGAAAGAAGAAGATGGCGGACCTTGAGGCAGAAGTTCGTGTGCTCAGCAAGATTTTTGAAAGAATATCGGCGGAGATGTTGGAATTGAGAGAGAAGGGCAACGGCCCAAAGGAAACATCCGAAGCCTGGGAAATTCCTACTACCCAAATTCCGTTGGGGGCTGAGGGAGCCGTGTCCCACCCCGACGACACGGCAGCAAAGAAAAGAATTCTTAAGCGCCTTCTACTCAACCCTAACACCGCACAAGCTATACCTACTCAGGTCAACAAAATTTCCAGTGAGGCTCCCGTTGAGATTAAGAATACCGCGTCGCACGCCAATAAGACCACCCCAGGGGGAAGAATTCTCGAACCCCCCCAGCCCGAGCCCGACAACGCGCTGGCCATACCTACTCTGGCCAGTAGGGATGCTGATATTCTAGCTAAAACACATGAACATAAGCTAAGGGAGCAGATTAGAAAAATGACTGCCGAGAGAATCGAAGCTGTGGAGCAAAGCAAGTGCAATTTTCAGGAGGAAAAGCCTGCCGGCAAGGCTCCTACTAGTGAGTATCTTATACCGTAAAAACTCAAATAATAGAACTGTGTGCTATGTCGTTAGAGTTGCCTCCTCTAGTAAGGTCTGGTGTTTTTTTGTTTTTTTATGACTCTCAGGCGGACTGAGTAGCTCTGCTTTTGCTGTGTTTTTCCCCCCTTTTCTCAAGTGGTTAATTCTCGACTACATAGCACACGGTTCTATTATTTGAGTTTTTGTGGTACCCGTTGCACATGAGCATAAACTGACGGAGCATATAGCAAAAACGACAGAACAGAGAACCAAAGAGGAGGAAAAAAACGAGAGCAATATTCAAGAACCAAAGCCAACCAGCAAGGTTCCTAACACCGAGGCTCCCTTGGAAGTTGAGAATGCCGCATCGCACACAAACAACACTTCTCCAGAAGAAGGAATTATCCAACCTCCTCACCGCGGCCCCGACAGTGCGGAGTCTATGCTCGCCCGAACCAGCAAAAGCGAGAACCATACAGCGGCAATACATGAACATGAATTGAAAGGGCAAGTTACAAAAATGACTGTGGAGGGAGCCAAAGCGGCGGAAAAAAGCGAGAGCAGTGCTCAGGAGAAAGAACCTATCAGCAAGGTTCCTACCACAGAGGTTTCCTTGGAAGTTGAGATCGCCACGTCACACAGCAACGAGACTACCGAGCAAAAGAGAATTCCCGAATGTCCCCAGCGCGATCCTGATGGTGCGGAGGCTATAGCTGCTCGGGCCAGTCAGAACGCGGAAATTCTGGCTAGAATACATCAACTTGCGCTGAAGCGCCAGATTGAAAAAATGACAGATGCGCTAAAGAAGGCGGCGGAGAAAACTAGGGCAGGTGTTCTGAAAAAAATTCACCCAGGAAAGGATCTCCACGGGAAGCGTTCGCTGGAAGCTCATGCCGGGCCATCGGACACCCACCAGACGGCATTGAAAAAGAAACCGCTTAAACAGCTCCAGCCCCCTTCCGTCAACGCACAAGCCTTAGCCGAATATGAGAGCAAGGTCGGAGATTTAAAGGCCCAACTACATAAATATGAACTAAAGCGCCACATGGAAAAGGTGGTGGATATGGGAACCAACTCTGCTGTAATCAAGCCTGCCGCAACCAAACCAGTGGATACCAAACCAGGGGGGGTCGGGACCGAAGGAGGCAAGTCCACAGGGATCAGGTCGGAAGGAACAGAGCCGGAAGAAACCAAGCCAGAGGGATTCAAGTTTGCGGGAAACATCGGCAAAGATCTAACGCAGACACCTGTCGGAACTGCCCTAGGCGCCAAAACTCCTATGGCCCCAAGAAAGAAAAGGCCAGAACACCTCCAACCAGACTCCACCAAGGCACAGGCGATAGCCGCTCATGAGAGCAAGATCAGAAATTTTAAGGCCATATTACAAGAACATGAGTTAAAACAGAAAATTAAGAAACAACGAGCAGAGCAGAGGGCCAAGGCGCTGGCAAACAGAATCAATGACGAGGAGACGAAAAAAACCCCAGGAAATAGTTCCACCGCGGGAACTCAGTTGGGGGCCGGTAAAGCTGTGTCTCATGCCGACGAGATAAGATCGAGAAAGAGAAAAGCAGAAGAAGACCAAGAGGTTATCCCGGATAATGTCAAGAAACAGAGATACACACCTAAGCCAAAGTTACAGGAGGAGAACCTGGGTGAAAGGAAGCGTATTGGAACCGCGGAACTCAAGGTCGAGAAGTCCGGGCGCACAAGTGCTACCGAATACGCCGAAAAAGCTTTGGGGGGCGCGGAGCCGGCACCAATCAGAAACGACACTGCCGCAAAGGCTCCATTAGAGACTGAAAAAGTCGTGCCGCATGCCAATGAGACATGCTCGAAAAAGAGAAAAGCGGAAGAGGAACATGAGACTATTCCAGAGAGTAAGAAGCCAAGATACCGGTACTTGCCTAAGCTAAAAGCTCAGGAGGAGACCCCACCTAAAAGGAAACACATTAAAACTGCAGAAAGAGAGATCGAGAGCCCCGAGTACATTAGTATCGCAGAATATAATGAGCAGGATAAGGAAGAGACAAGGTCCGAAGCGGCAGAGCAAGGGAAAGCAGAGCAAGAGAATCCAGAGCAGGCCAATCCCGTCGACGAAGGTACGCCAGAGGTGCCCCAAAGGTCAGTAGAGGTTGGCACCGTCCGTGAGACACAAGCTGCTGCCCCCAGGGAGTTTGTGCCATTCACCCACGTCCCGGATCCTTTCGTGGATGAGGTAGATTATGAGATTGATTGATTGTAACATAGAGATTTGATGGAAAGGAAAATTGCGGGAGCGACGGAGGATCGTTAACGATTTCTCTACGATGGGCAGAAACAGTTTGAGAAGTATATTATGAGGGAGGGAGAAGCTAGGCTGGTACTCTTGTATTTCAGGTCATTCCTATAGTTCTTTTAGTATCGTGCTTAGTGTTTTAAAGCGGGGAACAACTGTATTATTAATCCCAAGTCATTTTAAACGAAACTCAAGATATCGATATGGGTGAGATTGTGCTCGGTGATCATGCCACGCCTTCGGAGTCAGTACCAGCAGTGAGCATGGATAACGCCACCGGGTACCTACTCGGGTATGAAGGTTAGTGGTGGGATGGACAGGGGTTCGCTGTGTCAAAGCTTTTTTCCCCTCTCAGCATTATATCTATCAAATTAAATCATTTTTTCCCTCTGACGGTCATGAGCACGAGGGCCCCACTGAAGTCGGAGAAAAGATGAAACATAAGAATCTCATGCTGTCATTCATTCTATGAACAACTTGAAAATATCCCCCATTCCCGCCTCTTGGTTTGCCGATCCTACTTAAATTAATATAATGAATTGGAACACATGACAGTGGATGTATCTCCTTACCTTAAAAGCAATCCCGGGCACCTCTTTCAAAACACACTCCTTAACGATCTCCTACTCCTCCCCCTCAGCCTTAGATTTTATTATGTCTACAAGCTTGACCTGACGGGCGTTCCCTGCGACGATTTGGCCTAACGTGAAGCCCCCACGGATGATTGTAATTTCGGCGTTCATGTTTTTCGTCTCCTGGTCGATGGTATTAATCTCCTTGTTGGCGTCATCGAGCATTTTGAAGAGGTGGGTCCTAGTGTTCTCTAGTTGGAGGTGGGTGTTGTCTATTTTCTCGGTGGTCTTCTGGAGGTCGTATCTGTTGAGAACGTTTATGCCAAACAGCATCGAACTTGAGAAGACGATTGCTGCTGGTGTTGCGTATGCACGAGCAATTTCTTGATAAAAAATCATGTCAGCTTATTATCCAATGATGATTAAAGAAAGGGGCATCCTTAAGGGGGAACTTGGAAGCCATGATGGTGTCGATGATTCCCTTGTCGGTTGGCAATGGGGGTGCGGAAAATAAAAGTTTTGGAAGAAATACCACAAACAAAGGGCAACTCAACGCCCTGAAATACCCGCTATGGGTAACGCATGTCACACTCTACATTCTGCCTGAAACATCATGTGAAAATTCCTCATACTGGACTTTCCAGTAGGCTATACACTTAGCTGAGAGACCCCAGGGGCCGTTTGGCGTGACAACATTGTGAAGTCTGGTCAGCCACAAACAATGGTTGAAAGAACCCTGTACCCTATATCATTAACAGCCAAAAAATTGCCGCCGGTTGTTGTAAACAATTTCTTGCAATTCACATCTGCTAACCAGTCTCGTAGTTACAATTTATAAACAATGGTTTGGGACTAAAACATGTTTTGCTGTCCCAAAGCTACCACACCAAAAGCCCCTTAACAGTTTAAAGATTGTTCAAAACTTTTATGACTCCGCTTGGAGGTGTCTGTTTAAACAATTAATGCAACTAATACTATTAATTTCCAAAATTTCCTGCCCTAAATGGAAGATTTTCTATGTTATCTCTGAAATGATCACTATGGCATATTTTCAATCCTGTTAGAATTACTGCGCAGGCAGTTCCCACCGAGTAAGCGCCCGCACATCAATGACGAGATATGAGCTCACTTTATTGGACAAGATACTGGTGAAGATATAGGAGCGGAGGGGCTATCCATATATCAAGTGCTCCATGAGGTGCGATCTAAGAATCTATCACGTGTACAGTACTCTATATCCTTGGGTTTTATTTTCGTAAATTTCGTCTTTGGGATAAAACTAGGGACATGTGGGGTGCGGAGTCTTATCCGATTCTGCTTTATATTCTAGTGTGGGTCCTTCAATAAATTGATTCGTCTAAAACGAAACCGCAGCGGGGGCTGGCTTTCTAGTGATATGGCAGGCGAGCTCTGTTAGGAGAAAGTGAATTGTTTGAATGCATCGCTCTAAGGCTGCCTCACTCACACGAGGCATGCTAATGGATGTGGAGGGGTGCTGGATCGGCTTGAATAGAATTCCCCATGAGAGGTCTAAAGGTATTGGATTCGGTAGAGTTTCTGCGAGCCGGAAGAAAAAATGATGAAAAATATGTCCCTTCAACTAGAGTCGAACTGGTGACCAACTGGTAAACTAAACATTGCAGCCGGGTGTGATACCAACTACACCACGAAATCTCATGACAAATATCAATCAAACTTACACATAGAGATGTTTCAAGCTGGTCTGGAGTGTGTACCACACTTACCCATCCCTCGCCACAAGCGCAGCTCTTTTTAACCAAAGTTGTCTAACTCATGAAACCACCACCATCGGTTATCCAACTCACCGTTTCTCTGCAAAAAAAAACCGCCCGAAGTTGCAAAAATTTTGAATGCATGATAAAAGGCAGGACTATCTTCCCTCCTACCGCTCACCCTCTTTGCATTAGTTATGTATTTGCCGGACGATCTTTTGTCTATCTGCTACCACTACTTCGGCTAAGAGCTATGATAATATAATGCCACATCTGGTACTCAGGGACAGTGCGAGTGATAGCTCATGGATGAACACCTGCTGAAGAAAAGATAAAAAATGAAAAATGAAACTGGAAGGAATTAAAGGCTTTTCCATTTGTCAATATTCCCTACGGTAGCAATAGTATATAATTTTTTTCCATCTGGTAAATGCTTGGGGTTAGTTTTTAACCTGCAGGGTACTCGAAGAGGTTCCCCATGAACCTGATCAAGTACAGAGAAAATTCTGCTGCGCGGGCGGCTGGCGCGAAAAATAACACTGTGGAAAGCTCCCTGATTTCTTTCGCCTGCTTCGGTTTGAGATTTGGTTATTAGCTGGTACGGTGCTGAGCCTCCGGGGGAATGTGAAATTGCACTTGTGGAAAAAACCGAGGCAATCCAAGGGCTACTAACTTAGAGTACTATTAGAAGCAGATCGTAGCTGTTCCCACAAAGCTGTGTTTCTCAAAATGTAGGGGAATTCTGCTCTATTGCGGCTGCAGGCGTTACTTTGTTTGATAATATTATGGTGCGCGTGCCCCATTTGGTAGTGCCCGAAATAAGCAAATTTTTTCGACCGCCAATCAGGCGGTAGGTGTCGCAAAATGCTAGGGAATTTAGTATCATACAGTATATCATTTGCAGGCTTCATTGGCAGAAGTTTAGAGCCTGCTTGGCAAAAATGGGACCGTTCCGTTCGGCGACCGTTTCTACTGTGAAAAGGACGTTTTTTCCGTTTTGAAACGGAAGGAAAAGGGCCATTTGTATGGAGGAACGGAACGGAACTGTTGTATCCAAACAGGCTCTTGGCCTAGCTCTAGCTTGGAGGTGAACCGGTGGTCAATGTTAAACTCGTCATTTGGGATGCTGCTGCTAACCCTTCCAATAACTTTGCTGTATTAACAGCGGCCGAGAAGTTAGCCCAATACCCTAAGGGCCTGTTGGGATGCAACAGTTCCGCTTGCCCTTTCCCTTCTGTTTCAAAAACGGAGGGGAAGCCATTTTCAAAGCAGAAACTGTTGCCCAACGGAAGGTCCCATTTTTGCAAAACAGGCCCTAACACTACTACCGTTGACGGTGCTGCCACTTTAGTCCGAATGGAGAAACCAATAGAATTCTAGCTATCATACTATCAACAGTTAACCCCGCCGTTGATCCCGAAATCCCCGTCTCTAGATCAAAATCTTCCTCTCCCGTTTTCTCTCTCATCAACACCACACACAACCACAACAAACACGAGCAACACCGTTAGTCGAAACAGAACCAAATCCAATGGCACCTATTCTCCGCACCCGCAAGTCCACTCCTCTGGAAGTGAGTCCTACTGCGGAGCGGCAAAAACCCAAGCGAAAAAAGCGTAAGGTGAAACAGAAGCTGGAGAACTCTGCACCTGCGCATAAGGTTAAGAAACACGAAGCTGAATCGCCCGAGGAGTCAGAGGATAAGCCTATTGTGCATGATTATGATGTCGATTCACCTCTTTCTTCTCCCCTTACCCAGCCTCTCCATTTCACTTTTATCTCAGAAGGGAGCGAATCTGGGAACAGTGGTAAGTCAACACGTTCTGTATCAAAGAGGGAAGTATTATTTATACTACTGTCCTAACATCCACTGTCACTCCTAAAGAAGGGCCACCTTTCATCTTTCAATATAATGGCCTTATACTCACCGGTGGAACCTGTACTTGGCACCTCCTCCTTCTTGAAAGCTCACGCCGTGCACCTAACTAACAGATCCCAGTCGAACAACGCGCTTCCGTTATAATGGCTTTCCTGGACTCTAGAGATGGATCTGGTGTCCAAAGTGAGTCTGTCATTGGTGAAGGCTATTCCAACTAAGGCTGCATATCCGGTTCCAGGTATGAAAGCATCGTGGGAGATGGGAGTATCTGAGTACGGCTTGAGGTAAACTTCCTCTTGCTCACTAGTTGCTGTTGCTGTCTGTGCGATGCTAACGGATAAGAGAGGGTAGATGTTTTCAATGATCTTGGCTTGTTTTTGCTCTATTATTCAAATCATGTTTGGGGTAGACTTGTGTGTTTGAGGCTGGGATGGGAGAGACACAGTCTCATTGGGCTTGGCTATTGATTTAGTGAGCGAGAGAGTTATCTCGCTTGACTGGTTCGTCAGGTTAGAGAGTGGGAGGAACTGAGTATTATACTGTACTGTCAAACCATGTCCTAGTGTAATCCAGCTGAGAGTCCGATATCCGTCGGCAAATAATAGAGGTAAAACATCTTTCCTAAAGTCTTCTCCCTTCCTTTCGGGAGAAGAGGAGGGATCCTATATTAGATTATAGTGATCTTCCTTGTAAATTAAAAGTGGAAGGGGATGTGATTATGGGTAGCTGAATTTTTTAGGGCCCGTTTACCTACAGACGGCCGTCTAGTAACCAGAGACAGTGCCTACCGTCAAATAAAGTCAGTCAGGTAAACCGGCTTTAAGCTATATACCAGAAAGTATGCTAGCTAAACATGCAACTATTCTGTTGGCTTTAGACACCTTGAACTGTCCGTCTTTTTCGAAAAATTAAATTTGTATAGGTAGCCCGACTAGACAGTGGCATCTCAACCACTACCTGATACACGGCACAAAAGTGTTTGAACAATTTTCCACTCTCCTAGAATCTTGTAGCTAGACCGTCAGAAATTTACATTGCCTACATTAGGTAAACGCCATCTACTTTGCCGCACTCAGTGTTCCCAAGCGTCCAGTCCGTCCGTCTTTTCCCTAGGACGGGATGGACGCCGCATTCTCTGCCACTGCCCGGGACGGACGCCCAACTTGTAGTCCGTCCTAACCTGTGCCCGGGACGGACGGCCGGGCCCTATAGGCTTTTCGAGTGATAAGGTGTGATGTGGGCGGTAAAATGAAACGAAACGCCAAGCACAAAAGACTGATCGCCAACAACGGTGACGAACTTTTTCTCATTCTACTGCTCACTGTTACGCTCACGACTTGGGAGATAGACCGGGTAAGCCCTAACTCCTATGCGGGGAATGTGATAATGCTTCAGACTATTACTTGTAGTTAAATAACACGGTTTGGATAGTGCAAAGTATAAGAAAATAGGGAAAATGAGACACGGTTTCTTGCCGAGGTGGCTTATCGGATGTGAGATATACTCCTATCCCTCTGATATGAAAACGGGCCACACACTTATTTTGTCAATGAACCACGTATATCACACTACGATGCAATTAGGGGGGTGACTATCTATTATAGGTTAGTGTGAAAAATACCTATAGGGCCCAGCCGTCACCTACAGGACTGCAGTCATTATGGAAGACGGACGCCGTGCCCGGCCGTCCTTACCCACCCTGCCCGGGACGGACGGGACTATAGGACGCCAGGGCCCTGCCGTCCGGACGGGACGGTTGGGAACACTGGCCGCACTGTTCCCCACTGTCAAGCCCCCCTTAATGGTCGGCACCATTTCGGGCTGTTAGACGGGCGTCTATAGGTAAACGGCCCCTTAGATAGAGTATGGAAGCATAGATCGGTATATACCTTTGCTCATGTCCTTCAGCAGTAATCTTCCAATATAGGGAGGGGGGGCTCGTCTGGTATCATCAGAGTTTATAGACATATCTGTGGAGAGTTAGACAACAAAAGCAAGATGCATTTTTCATGCCAAGACGAAACCTTGCTAGGGTGTCGGACAGTGCTTTGATTTAACCCTCGTGGGGTTCGGGACTTTGTTACTCTCGATTAATTTCTGTGATAATTATGATATCTCTTACCGAATTTAGTAGCAGAGAGGAATTTTCCGATACCACAACGTGGAAGGCGCATACAATTTCTTGCTCACTCGGCAGCTTCGATACACAAGTCCTCCAAAGTCCACTCTCTTTAGAGCCTACAATAAGCCGTATGCTCTGCATCCCGGGTTGCGCTATGAAGGAAAACCCACTCCGTTGGCTCAGTCGCTTAGGGCCTGTTTGGCAAAAATGGGACCGTTCCGTTCGGCGACCGTTTTTACCGTGAAAAGAGCGTTGTTTCCGTTTCAAACGGAGGGAAGACCATTTTGAAAGCAGAAACGGTCGCCCAACGGAACGGCCCCATTTTTGCCAAACAGCCCCTTAGCCTCTCACCCCAGTACGGATATGTGGCCGTAGCTTCCCGGCTGGTGGTTGGCTAACTACTTAGCCGATAACTTACCAAGCGGGGTGCCCTTTAGCACCGCTCTGTAACAGGCACTGTACTTAAGACAGTGCAAACTATTATTATAGCAAAAAAAGCTGAGAGAGGTTACCAACAGGCCAACTAGGGAGTTCAGGGAGGCTTGTGTGATCAATCAAGTGCCCGATTGCTATGTACTTCCGCGGCTGAGTTGAAGTTGGATACTTTCTATGGGAATTGCCACCATTACTCCACTTCTTTGTAGTCGTAAACGATCTGGTAGTGCGGTCAAGAAGTGTCGTGCTGTGAGCCCTGGAATTGAACAACCGCACAAGCAGGAGGAGGAAAGTCTGGTGGATTAAAACCAATAGCCTCAATGGTTGTAGTGTTTGTAGTAGTTGAGGATGTGGACACAGACATGTCTGCAGACCTAGTAAGTCAATACGAGGATTGAGCAAGACGGCAAATTTGCAACCCACTCAGGAATTCTTTGAAAAATCAAAGCAGGTGGTAGCCCGCCCGTACCATCCCCCCGAGCCAGGCCACGGACAGCAATCACCA